GCGGGGGCTGGGGGGGCTGCTGCTCCGTCAGCTTCGGGCGGCAGCTCGTAGCCCCGGGGCGCGGGGTGCTCGGCAGCTTCGGAGCCTCCCCCGTGAGCCCGGGGAGGCTGACAGTCACGGGTCCTCGGGTCCCCTCCAGCCCTGGGGTTTCTGCCCCCAGAGCCCCTGAGATCGGGGCCTGCCTGAGCTGTCGCGAGGGAGCGCCCCAAATAACGAGCCCGTGAGAGCCTCGGCGGTCTCGGTGCCGCGTACCCGCAGGTCCCCGTGTCCTGAGAGTCCCTGCGTGGCGTGGGGGTGGAGGGGACTCAGAGGTGCCTGGTCTCCTCGGGTCCCCTCCAGCCCTGGGGTTTCTGCCCCCAGAGCCCCTGAGATCGGGGCCTGCCTGAGCTGTCGCGAGGGAGCGCCCCAAATAACGAGCCCGTGAGAGCCTCGGCGGTCTCGGTGCCGCGTACCCGCAGGTCCCCGTGTCCTGAGAGTCCCTGCGTGGCGTGGGGGTGGAGGGGACTCAGAGGTGCCTGGTCTCTCCCTTGCAGAGCTCGGCCCCTCCCCGGCACAGCGCGGCGGGCTGAGCACGAGCACCAGGAGATGAGCGCGGAGACGGTGGCTGCAGACATGGACGCCCTGTGCCCCGAGCTACTGCTCCCTGCCCCGGCGGACACGGGGCGCAGCAGAGGCCCCGATGCCGGCATGGCGGGTCCGTCGGCGCTGGCTGTGAGGCAGAGCCTGCTGCTGGCGGAGGGGGCACCCACGGGAGTGCAGGACGTGGAAATCTTCGTGGAGGCCATGGCGGGCAATGTGGCGCTGAGCAACCCGGGCAGTGCCACAGGTACGGGCGGGCGGAGGTGTGTGTGGGCTGTGTTCCCGGTGGCTTTGCAACTCGGCGCTCCTTGGGCAGCTAGAACCAGGGCAAGGGGCCGGCCCAGGCATTCACAGAGCAGGCGGGAACCGTCTGGGGGCCGACCTGAGCCCACAGACTGTGAGCTGTCAGCAGGAGCCGGACACGTGAACTCGCACTGAGCAGACCATGGCTTTGCACATAGATGCGAGTTACCCCAGGGTCTGGAGCACAGACTCGCAGAGCTGGGGGGCCGGCAGGGATCTGCGGAGGTCACCTAGTCCCAGCCCAGCCTGAGGCAGGATCCGCCCAGACAAACCCTGTGGGCGACCTCGGAGCTGCACGACACAGTCGCCCCTGACACAGCCTTGGGCATTGCCTCCACCCCTGCCCCTGGGAAAGCAGGGGGGCTGTAGCCGCCATCATCCCGCTGCAGCCAGGGGTGTTGTTGGGTGCTGGAGAGGGCCCAGGCTTTTCCCCCACTGCAGAGAGAGGGGAAATCCCGCCTGGTCGGGCCAGGCTGAGCAGGGGGCAAATCCCTGCCTGCCCCACCAAGGCAGCGTGTGTGTGGGAGGCAAGAACCTCCAGCCAGGACCCTGCGGGGCTGAGTCCCAGCAAGAGCATTGGCACAGCCCCAGCCTGGGCTGCAGCCAGCACCTCACGGGGTGGGGAACTTGCAACATAACCAGGGCTGGTGTTTCAGCAGCTGGCTACAAGGAGGCAGGGGAAGCTGCCTTTGAATCCAGCCTGTGGCCTGCATTGTCTGGCCTGTGGGGCTCCCTAGGGGTCTGGATATCAGGCGATGGGGCAGCCATTCAAGCAGCCACTGCTTCTCCCTGCCAGCAACTGTGGGGACTCGCAAGGAGCCTCACAGGCTGGATGACACGGGGCTGTGGAGCCATGCCAGGTTGGATCCAGCCTGTGGACTGATAGAGCCGGATAGGTAGAACCCCCTGCATTAAATCAGTGGCTGTGGCAGGATGGGCTGCAAATGCACTGTGCCTTCCCCAGGGTCCCTTCTGCTGGGGGAGCGCTGCAGAGAAGCCAGGCTGGTTGCCCTGGTCTCCTTTTGGGGGGGCAGACTGGTCCCTCTGATGTAGATGGGGCTTGTAACTGCCCTGAGCCTTTCACTGCTCTGCTCAGCGCCAGCCTGTCTGCTGTGCTTGGGTCTGCCTAGCAGCAGCCTTCATAGCGGGGATATGGGTCTGCTGGGCACAGGGCCAAAGCTGGCCCACCCCACCCAGTCTCCAGAGCTCATCGTCCTCCTCATCCTCAGCTCACAGCCCAGAGGCGACATGCTCCCGGTCTGGGCCGCAGCGGTGGTAACGCGCTCCCGCTCTCCGTCTCGCCCCTGCAGAGGTCTTGGTCAAGGTGGTGGAGCTGTACTTCTGTGAGCGATGCGGCCAGAGCTTCTCCGACCCTGGCCTGCTCACCCAGCACCAGTGCCTCACACTGGCAGCCCCCGAGTCCCTGGAGCTGCCCAGCACGCCCCAGCTGGCAGCACCCACCACCGAGGGACCCGGAGCGGGGCCAGGTCTCTGCCAGGAACCGCCCCAGAGGTTGCCGGAAACAGGCAGGCAGGGCAGAGACCTCAACTGTGCAGGTGAGCGCCTGCTGTGCCCCATCTGCCAGGTGGATTTTGCACTCCCCGGCGAACTCAAAGAGCACTTCAAGACGCACCGCAATTCCACGGTCACCCCGGCATGCCCCGCGCCAGGCTGCCCCTTCCTGCCTGGGGACCGCAGGCAGCTGCGCGGGCATGTGCGCCGCGTGCACCAAGCAATACCCATCTCCTGCGTCTACCGTGCCTGCCCCCTGCTCTTCCTGAGCAGCCCAGCTATGGAGGAGCATCACCGCAGCCACTTCCCCTTCCACTGCACCCACTGCCCATTCGTCAGTGCCAACATCAAGCTCTTCCAGCAGCACGCGAAGAGCCACTGCCCCGAGCCAGCGGGGGCTACAGAGATCTTCCTGGACGTGGCAGGGGTCAGGGAGACCCTCCCAGAGTCAGCGGAAGCTGGGGAGCCCCACAGCCGTGGTATGCGTGACTTTGCTGCCAGGACTGGAGAAGTCCCATGTGAGTGCCTCCTGCTGGACCCCTAGTATCTGTTGGGGGGGGCAGGACAGCTGGGAAGTGGCATACGAGCAGACGCAGCAGGGAGAGGGGCTGGCTTCGACGTTGGCCGTGGTGACCCAGCACTGGTCACAGCCTCCTAACCCACCCCTTCCTGCCAGGGAGAGGTGTGCCAGACTCGTTGAGGTGGGAACTAGGGTTGATTCTCCCAGCTCAGTCCTCTGGCCTTAGGGCTCACGATGGGTCTTGCTGCTCTGTGCTGATGGGGCTAGGGAAAGCCCAGGAGGTACTGGGTCTGCTGGGCCGGATGGAGACAGTGGGATCTATTGTGGGCCTGGGGCTCTCTGCACGTGCCTTGCTGGTCTCTCCCTTTCTGGGCTTGTTTTGCAAGTTGGGGTTAGAAATGTGCCAGGCGGAGAGAGAGGAGGGATCAGGGCTGCTGTTGAGCTGAGCCAGGGGTCGGTCCCCAGCAGGTGTTTCTGCTTTGTGGGATGGGGAAACGAGATCTCTGGGAGCAGGGTAGGGGGTGGTTCCCTGAGTCAGACAGCCAACGCACTCTTCTTCTGCAGCCGATGACAAGGCCTCCGAGGAGGTGGCATGTTCCCTTGACCCACCAGCCTGGGATGGCAGCCACAGCGCCCCCGAGGACACTTCCCATGAAGACGGACAGGCGTCGGCTGGGGAGGACGATTCTGAGAGCAGTGGGGACGAGTCTCTGGACGAGGAGGAGGGCGAGAGCACTGGTGAGGCAGCCACCAGGAAGGCCAAGGCCCCTCGGGCCCAGCGATTCAAAGGTAGAGTCCCCCAGTGCCCTGCTGGGTGCCTCCAGGATGGCCCTGTGGGCAGCCGAGTTGGTGTTCGGGCTCCCCCCAACAGCAGCTCATGAGAGACGGGGGCTGGAAAACACAGCTGATGAGGCCTGGTGGGGAAGGCGGGAGTCCCTTGGTCCCACCATTTCGTGCCATGCTGGCTTGAGCATAGGACCACATTGCTTGTGGCCAGCACCGTGAAATCCCGGTTGTCTTGGCTCAGCTGGTGTTTGGTGTGTGCCACCCTGGCTGACATGTCACAGGGCAGGGTAGGACAGTGGCATGAGCTGCGGCACCTGGCTGCATGGCCTGATGTGGGGATGAGCAGGCCTCAGGTACTTGGTGGGGGGCAGTTGGAGCTTGACCCTACAAGGTCTCCATCCTGGGTAGCAGGAGCTGTTAGGGGTTAGGGGCCAGCTAGAGCCAGGAGGCAGGGCCCAGGACATAGGCAGTCACCTGTGAGAGGCATGAGCGAGGTGGGGGTCAAGAACAGGAGCGAGGTTTCAGCCTGGAGTCACTGGCTAGGGGGGCCAGAGTAGGCAGCTTTAGCCGTACAGCACTGGGACGTGGACAGTGACCACACCAGAGCCAGCAGCCGCTGTCAGAGGGCAGGTGTTGTCTGCATTGGACTCGGGAGCAAGGAGTCGCAGACGACCTGAGCGCCAGGATGAAGCTGGTAGGAAGGACCCAGGGGCCAGGACGCCAGAAAGCGACAGGATGGGACAGAAGAACAAGGAGCCCAGGGCGGCCAGAGGCCTCTGATAGGCGCTGAGCAGGCAGCTGGGGCCATCGTTAGGCCACTGGTATCAGGCCACTATGCGATTTGAGGCTGCCTGGGGGCAGCTTCGCCTGCCTGCTGCCCTGGTGCCTGCTGAGGGCACGAGCTGCACAGGGCTTGAGGCACCCGGCCCCAACACGGCGCTGGACTTGTAGAATCCCAGAGCCGTGGGGCTGGCAGGGACCTGTGGGGCCACATCCAGTCCAAGCCCTGCCTGAGGCAGGATCAGCCCCATCCAAACCAGCCCAGACAAATTTGTCCTCTAACCTATACGTAAGGTGACCATCACAGAATGATAGAGAAGGAATGCCCCCATCGCTCACATCTAGCCCGACCCCTGCCTGAAGTAGAACCAGCCCTGTCCAGACCAGCCCGGGCCATAATCTAACCATAAACTAAACTCTACATAAGATGACTGTCAGCCCTGGCACAGCACAGACCTCGCACCCAACCCTGCACCCAGGAAAGCAGGGCACCACGGCCGCCACCCCCCTGCTTCTATAAAAGGGTGTTAATACCCACTCCAGAGCCCCAGACCGACCAGGGGGAAAATCCCTTCCTGCCCCCAAATGTGGTGATAAGTCTGACCCTGAGCGGAGGAGCAAGACACTCTAGCCAGGACCCTCTGGCTTTGATCCCAGCAGGAGCACTGGCACAGCCCAGTCCCCATCCCCAGCCTGGGCTGCAGCAGCACCCAGCACCTCTGAGGGAGGCTTAAAACCCTCCTGGCACATGGAACAGCAAGGGGCAGGCAGCCAGCACAGCCCCAGCCTGGACACCCCCAGCAGAGCACAGGCATCGGTGCACCTCGACCCTCCCTGCCCAGCGCCCATCTAGCCTCTCCTTGGACCCTCCTGTGCTGCAGAGTCCCTCCGCCCCAGGAAGTCTCTTCTGCTGCCTTGCTATTAGGTCTCAGGCCGCCCGGTCCTGTGTTTGAAGGGCCACGAGGTCTGACCTAAGCTACCTAGTCCTGTGCCCAGGGAGGGCCAGGCGCCTTTGGCCTGCAAGGTGCCCTGGGGTCCTGACACCGTGAGTCCAGGTTGCCCGTGTAGATAGGCACTCCTGCCTTGGGGACAACCAGCTGGTGCTCAGAGTAGGCAGCCTGGTCCAAGCTCTGATGCCTCAGGATCTGGAGGGGGAGTGACTCCAGGGCTCTGGCATGCCAGCTCCCTGAGCCCCTACAACCCCGTGCAGCTTGACACGATGACCACAGGGGCTCACGTGTGTGGTGGGAGCAGCCAGAGGGCTTTAACAGAGCCGTCAAAGCCAGCACTGGTCCAATTATAAAGCCCACACCAGCGTGCTCAGGGGGCCGGTCTCGGCTCCTGCCCCCTCAGTGCGGACTGGAGCATTGGTGGTTGGTCGAAGTGGATCGCGCCTGTACAAGTGGTTACCGGAGTGGGAGCCGAAGTCAAGCGAGGCATCTGCCAGTGCAGTGGGGTCAAGCGCTAGCAGTGGGAGGGTTTCCTCTGGTCACTCATCCCGCTCCTACGCTGCTGGTCTTGCTCGGAGTAGCACCCTGTCCTTGCTGGCCATGCTTGAGCTGTTACCTCTGAGGGTTGTCTCCAGAGAGCCAGACTGGGAGCTTGGTGCCCTGCCCGGCTGCGTCTCAGTTCACTGGGTCCCCGGCAGCCAAACGGCCACAGTGAACAGCCACTCACGTGCAGCTCTCCCCACAGGCTGCTCACAATCGGAGCAGCGAGGCTGGAAGGGATCTCCAGAGGTCACGTGGAGTCCAACCCCCAACCCGGGGCGGGATCAGCCCTGTCCAAACCAGCCCAGACCAACCCCATGTGCAACCTCAGAGCCGCACGATGCCCCTGTCCCTGAGAAAGGGGGGGGACCAGGTCTGCCAACGTCCTGCTGCTGCCAGGGGGTTGGTGGGTGGTGGAGAGAGCCCAGGCCCAGGCCGTGTCCCCGCTGCAGAGGGAGGGGAACCCCCCAGGTTGAACAGGAGACAGATCCCTTGCCTGCCCCCTCCCCAAGGCGCTGTGAGTGGAGGGCAAGAGCCTGTAGCCTGCAGGGCTGAGTCCCAGCAGGAGCATTGGCACAGCCCCAACCTGGGCTGCAGCCAGCACCCAGCGCTGCTGAGGGACGGAAAAACCAATACCCGCAGCAACAGGAGGGGGAGAAATCCCTTCCTGGCCACACGTGGCAACCAGCAAAGCCCAGAAGCCTGGAAGACCCCAGGGCCCTCGACTGGCTGGCAGCCTGAAGACAGCAAACACAGCTCAGGGTGTTGCACCCTCTGACTGGGCGGTCAGAAGGGCCCTTCTGTGCCCCCCTGCATGAATTAAGAACAACTGAGCTGCCACATCCTGGCTCAGCCCCAGGTCCGTCCTGCCCCGTCTCCCATGTCCCGGGGCAGAGCGGAGCTGGCGGCCGAGCAGGGCTTTCCCCTGTTCTTCCAGCACAGAGGGTCCCGGCAGGGCTGGTGCAGAGGCCGTGCCCCTCGCTCCCTGCCCCAGCGCTCCCCGTGCCCCTTTCCTCCCTGCACGTGTCCAGTCCCTGGTGGATCCGGCTGCGCTCTCAGCTCCAACCACGTCTGGGGCCACGAGTCCCCCCTTGAATGCCCCATGGGGGGACAGGACGGCCTGGGCCTGGTTGGCAGTTGCCAGCCTGCTTGTCCTGTGCCGGGACCCAGCTCTGTCTGGGCAGAGACAGGCAGGAATAAACCCCGGGGACTTTCTCTTCCCCCTTCAGTGCAGTGCAGATCCTGCTCCTGTTCCCTCCAGCATCTCTCCTAGGCCTGGCCTCAGTCTCTGCTCCTAGGGAAGCCCCTCCGCAGCCCCCGGCCTCCTTGCTGCCCTGCTCTGCACCTTATGCAGCTCTTTACTCTCCCGGGGCTGTGGGGACCAGAGCTGGGCACCAATTCAAGGTGTGGACACCTTATGGGCTTATAAAGGGGCCTCATGATGCTTCCTGTTGTGCTCACAGTTCCTTTCTTCATTGTCCCAAACCTGTTTGCCTGTTCACTGACTGCTGAGCATGGACCTGATGTGTTTAGTGACTTGTCCCCAGTGCTGAACAGGAGCCAGCAGTGTGCCCTTGTTGCCAAGAAGGCAAACGGCAACCTAGACGCATTGGCAGGAGCGGTGCCAGCAGGTGGAGGGCAGTGATTCTTCCCCTCTGTTCAGCACTGGGGAGGCCACGTCTGGGGTCCGGTGTCCAGCTGTGGGCCCCCACTACAGAAAGGATGTGGACACATTGGAGAGAGTCCAGCGGGGGCAACAAAAATGGTTCAGGGTCTGGGGGACGGGACTGGTGGGGAGAGGCTGAGGGAACTGGGTTGATTGAGTCTGGAAAAGAAAAGACTGAGGGGTGATTTGATAGCAGCCTTCAGCTCCCTGCAGGGGGGCTGCAAAGAGGATGGAGCTGGACTGGTCTCAGTGGGGGCAGATGACAGAAGGAGCAATGGGCTCAAGTTGCAGCAAGAAAAGTTGAGGTAGGATATTAGGAAAAGCTTTCTCACTAGGATGGTGGCGAAGCACTGGAGCAGGCTCCCCAGAGGGTGGCGGAGTCTCCAGCCTTGGGGGTTGTCTTAGGATGAACTACTGGGTTCAGAAGATTCCCTGCGCTTGAACAAAGGACGTACTCACGGTTGTTCTCGCCCTTGCAAAGCTTTATTTAAGGATACTCGCAGAGGCAGGCAATAGGACAGAGCAGAGAGGATGGGCAGTTCACATCGGCTCTAGGCAGCAGCCGCCACCCCGCATAGTTCCCCCGGCCCCGGAGCGTCCCAATCCCGGGGATGCGATAGTCTGTGCCGGGTCTCCGCACAAGTCAAAACTCTTGCCAGAGTGGAGGAACTCCTCGTACCTTAAGAATGTACAGCTTATATAGTCTGGAGTAAATAACGTTATCTCGAACTAGGCATCTGGTTATCTCAGGCTCGGGATGAGTCATGATCCAACACACCTGGTGTTTACCACATTCCCCTGTATTACAACAGTCTGCTGTCTAGGTTCACAGTTCAGTCACGCTCGCAGAGCAAGAAGCTACGTGCTGTTTCGCTGGCCTACTATGGAGTCAGCATACAAAACTAGCAAAGCCCTTACTATTACAGGGGTGTTCAAGCTCCAGGTAGACGAAGCCTTAGCTGGGATGATGTAGTTGGGGCTGGTCCTGCCTGGAGCCAGGGGTTGGACTAGGTGTGACCTCCTGAGGTCCCTTCCCACCCTCGCAGTCTGTGGAAGCGCTTCCTACCACCCATCATCCGTGTTGCCCTTCTCTGCACCTTCTCTAGTTCTGCAGTTGAAGGCGTGGGACCAGGGCTGGGCACCGGATTCAAGGTGCAGATGCCCCGTGGAGTTGTAAAGGGAGATCGTGACACTTTATCTCGGCCTCTTTAATCTTCTGTTTCCAAGCTGGCCGTGGCACTTTGCTTCCCTCTCTCGCACCTGGGCATGGTCCTCTCCCATCTCCCGCTGCTCCAGGTGGCACAGCTCTCCTTGGGATCCCCCAGCCGGGGAGTCATGGGCAGGCCCTGGGCTTCCCCCGGGTGCAGGCTGATGCCCATTTACTTTGCAGGGGATGTGGCGGAGGGGTCGGAGTCCCTGTTCAAGACCCACATGTGCCCCGAGTGCAAGCGCTGCTTCAAGAAGCGGACGCACCTGGTGGAGCACTTGCACCTGCACTTCCCCGACCCCAGCCTGCAGTGCCCCAACTGCGGGAAGTTCTTCACCAGCAAGAGCAAGCTGAAGATCCACCTGCTGCGGGAGACGGGCGAGAAGGCCCACCGGTGCCCTCTGTGCCAGTACCGCTCAGTGGAGAGGAACGCCCTCAACCGCCACATGGCCAGCATGCATGAGGGCATCTCCAACTTCTACTCAGACGTCTACGCCTGCCCCGTGTGCCAGGAGCCCTTCAAGCTCAGCCAGGCCCTCAAGGAGCACCTCAAGAGCCACCAGACCGAGCCCAAGCGGCTTAGCTGCTTCGAGGGTGGCTGCGACTACGGCACCGAGGACCGCAAGGACTTTACACGGCACCTCAAGGAGGCCCATGGCCTCAAGGCAGTGGAGTGCACGTACCACGCCTGCTCGCTGCTCTTCGGCACGGCCGAGGCCATGGAGACTCACCGCAAAACCCACTACGCCTTCCACTGCCAGCAGTGCGACTTCATCTGCTCCAACAAGCACGTCTTCCGCAAGCACAAGCGCCAGGGCCACCCCGGCAGCGAGCGGCTGCAGTGCGGCTTCTGCCCCTACACCACCTTCAACCCTGTGGAGTTCCACGACCACCTGGGCAAGATGCACGCCCACGAGAAGATCCACAAGTGCGGCGAGTGCGGCTTCGCCACGGCGCACAAGAGGGTGCTGATGCGCCACGCGCTCCTGCATACCGGTGCGTGGCCCCGGCCGGGGGGGAGGGGAGGTGGGAATCAGGGGCTTCTCCAGTGTCCTGCCACTGCCAGGGCCACGCCGACAGCAGGACTCCTGGGTTCCACCCCTGGCACTAGGAGGGGTGCAGGCTGTGGTAAGCCAGGAGGAAAGGGGGTGCCCGCCCCAGCGTGGGGGGTCAAAGGCTTTTGTGCCAGGGCTCTTGGGGCTGGCACCGACCTGCCACGGGGCCTGTGGGTCAGTCGTGGTGCAAGTGGATGGTTGCCGTGCCTAGCTCTCTAGCAGTGTGCAGCCCAGCCTGCTCCATCCCATGGGGCCAGCGCATGTGGGCACCAGCATTTGTGCACCTCTGACCTGAGCAGAGGGTCACAGGGGCTTTGGCACAACCCAGGAACCCAGCACATTGCAGCCAGGGCCTGGTATCTTCCTGCCTCCTCTTGGGGGGTGTCTGCATCGCTGGGTGCCGGTCAGCGGGGACACCGGGATGGTCCTGGGTCAGACCATGGGTCTGTCTTGCCTGTGGCAGAGAAGCCTGCCCTGGGGACAGCTCGGGGGTCCAAGGCTTCTGATCCCAGCAGCCATGGCTGCTCTAGGGCTTCCTCTCCCCCGTGCCCCAGAGGGTCTCTGTCCCGGGACACCAGTGCCCCATGCCGGCTGCCCCTTCCACAGCACAGCTGGGCCAGGCCATCCTGCCCCTCTGGTAACAGGCTCCCTCCCACAGGGGAGAAACCTCACAAGTGCGAGCAGTGCGACTTCACGTGCCGGGACGTGAGCTACCTGTCCAAACACATGCTGACCCACTCCAGCGCCAAGGACTTCATGTGCACGGAGTGCGGCTACGTCACCAAGTGGAAGCACTACCTCAACGTGCACATGCGCAAGCACACTGGGGACCTCAGGTACCGCCCGGAGCAGCTGGGGGGAGGGCTGAGCCGGGTAGCGGAGCCCAGGGGGGCACCAGGTGGGGCTGGCAGCACCTTGATACATGCCAGCCTTGTTTTGGGGTCACCTGTGTGGGTCTGGCCCTGGGGGGTGACTCCAGGGCCCCCATGTGGGGGCAGCACAGAGGTGCTCGGGGCCAGATGGGCTACCCAGGCCTCATAGTCAGCTGCTGGATGGGCCTTTTGAGGCCCAGAGCCTGGAGCCTGGCTCCCTGCATGGACGGGGCAGCGCAGAGGCACGCGGGAGGGACTGGGGAAGCACGCTGAAAGGCAGAGCTGGGCCCAATCCTGAGGGGATCCAGGGAGGGGCAGAGGGGCTGCTGTGACCCAGCTCTGGCCATTTCTTTCCCCCCTTCCACTCCCGGCAGGTACCAGTGCAACCAATGCTCGTACCGGTGCCACCGGGCCGACCAGCTGAGCAGCCACAAGCTGCGGCACCAGGGCAAGAGCCTGATGTGCGAGGTGTGCGGCTTCGCCTGCAAGCGCAAATACGAGCTGCAGAAGCACGCGCAGGCCAAGCACGCACAGGGCTACCAGGCACCCGTCTTCCAGTGCCGCTACTGCAGCTACCAGAGCAAGTACAAGCAGGCGCTGCGCAGCCACGAGAACTGCAAGCACACGCAGCAGCGCGAGTTCCGCTGCGCCCTCTGCGCCTACTGCACCTTCAGCAACACCAGCCTCTTCTTCCACAAGCGCAAGGCCCACGGCTACGTGCCCGGCGACAAGGACTGGCTGCAGCACTACGCCAGCAAGGAGCAGGAAGCCGGTGCACCCCATGAGGCCACAGGATGTCACGCTGGGGAGGAGCCGTGGCAGGGGGCCAGCTCGGAGCCCCCAGAGGAAGAGGAAGATGGTGAACCAGCCGGTGCAGAGCCGCTGCCGGAGCTAGCCGCAGGGCAGCAGGAAGGCGGCACGAACGTGGCGACGGAGGAGGGTGGGACATCCAGTGAGGCCGTGGATGGCTGCACACTGCACTTGGAGACACTGGAGGTCTCGGCGCAGGTGGTGCTGGAGGGCACGGCCCCTGCAGAGGCTCAGGGCTGCAAGGATCCTGGGGCTGGGTACGGCATCCTGAGTGCCACCGAGGCCTTGGCACTAGAGGACAGCACCCCTGGGCTGGAGGACATTGCTGACTTTGAGGAAGAGCCGGATGTGGCTGGGGCACCCGAGGGCAATGTGGGCAGCCCTGGCATGGAGAGGAGGCCAAGCCGGGACCTGTTGGAGGGGCCTGGAGATCCCAGTGCAGGGCAGGACCCTGCTTCACCCATGGCCGGCAGGATGGGAGAGAGTGGCCAGACCATGACAGCAGGGATGGAGGAGGGTGGCGGCAAGCCCGGGGACGAGCCCGCGGCAGAGTGGGAGTTGCCGGCGCTGCGGCAGCATGACAAGGAGCAAGCGGAGACGCTGGTGCTGGAGGGGCGTGTGCAGATGCTGGTGGTGCAGACGGAGCGCCAGGTGTTCCCCTGCCGTGCCTGCCCCTACGTCACACGCAAGGAGCGTGCGCTGGCCCTGCACGCCAAAGCTGGCTGCCAGGCCCGGCGCACCCCGCTCCTGTGCCACGGCTGCGGTGCCAGCTTCAAGCAGCAGCGCGGCCTCAACACCCACCTCCTTAAGAAGTGCCCTGTCCTCCTCAAGAAGGGCCGGACGCCCAAGCTGGTGGGGCCGGAGCAGCCCAGGAATCCCCCGCAGGACCCCCAGTCTGCGGCCATGGAGGACAGCACGGGTGTCCTGGAGGCAGCAGAGGGGAGCCCGGAGCCTGGGGCCACAGAGGATGGCACGGAAGGGGCAGTGGGGAGCCGGGTCCCGGAGCCTCCCTTGGAAGCGGAGCCAGTGCCCGTGGACCGAGGCAGCCCCCTCCCTGAGGCCGTGCTTCCGGGAGCCAGTCCAGCCACAGTGCTCCCGGCCCCTCCAGCCGTGAGCGAGACGGCACCGGAAGGCGCCGGTGCCCCCACGACGCCATCGGAGAAGTACCGAGTGGAGCAAGGCAAGCTGCGCTGCAACGCCTGCGCCTTCAGCCGGCAGGCGCTCGAGAGCCACCGCGCCCAGCAGCACGGCCAGCCCCAAGAGGCTGAGGGGCCTGGGAATGCCGGGCTGCGCCCCCGGCGCCGCCTGTCCTGCCCCAGCTGCCCCTTCACCTGCCAGCAGGAACGGGCCCTGCGGACACACGCGCAGCGGGGCTGCGGGACACGGCGTGGCACTGCCCCTCAGCCCCCCTCCTCTGCCGCGCCCCCCCTGCGGCGGCACCGGCGCCCCCCCCGTGGGCGCTACAGCCAGCGCCCGGCGCTGCAGTGCAGGCAGGGCGAGTTCACCTGCAAGCAGGCCCGGGGCCTGGGGCAGCACGTGCGCGTGACGCACGAGGGCCTCAAGCCGCACCAGTGCCCCTACTGCGAATTCAGCACCACGCGACGCTACCGCCTGGAGGCGCACCAGTCGCTGCACACGGGCGTGGGGCGCATCGCCTGCGGCAGCTGCAGCCAGACCTTCGGCACCAACTCCAAGCTGCGGCTGCACCGGCTGCGAGTGCACGAGAAGACGCCCACGCACTTCTGCCCGCTCTGCGACTACAGCGGCTACCTGCAGAACGACATCCCCCGCCACATCAACAGTTGCCATCGGGGTGAGCCACTCTACCCCTGCGCCCGCTGCGACGCCCGTTTCAGCTCGCCCACCGCCCTCAAGCAGCACGCACTGCGCCGCCACGCCGAGCCCGCCGCCTGCCGCTGCCCCCACTGCGGTCTGCAGTGCCGCAGCCGGGCCACGCTGCGGGGTCATGCCCGGCGCCAGCACCCGCCTCGCCTCGAGTGCGGGGCTTGCCACGAGGCCTTCGCGACCCGCCGCGACCTGGAGACGCATCGCCAGCAGCAGCACTTCAGCCACCGCTGTGGACTCTGCGGGTTCGCTGCCCGCGAGCGCCAGCAGCTGGTGCGGCACTACGTGGACAGCCATGAGCCACCGGCTGCCGCCCCTGCTGCTGACCGGCCCCTGGCCTGCCCCTCTTGCGACTTCACCTGCCGCCACCAGCTGGTCCTGGAGCACCACGTCAAGGGCCACGGCGGCACCCGTGTCTACAAGTGCTCGGACTGTGCCTACACCACCAAGAACAAGCAGAAGATCACGTGGCACATCCGCATCCACACGGGCGAGAAGCCTTACAAGTGCCACCTCTGCACCTACACATGTGCCGACCCCTCACGCCTCAAGGTGAGCTGGCATAGGGAGCCCAGAGGTGCCCTGGAGCAAGGAGGGGGCCCCCTGGGGCTGTGCCTGTCTGGGAACCGCTGCTTTGTGGCTGCAGGCCCACTGGTCCCATGCATCCGTCAGCCAGGACCCCAACCCCATGGGTCTATTATGACTAAGAGGCCTTTGGGTAGGGCCATGGGGCCACCCTCCGGGATTGCTGAGCTGGGCACCTCAGCCCTGAGCTTCCCTAGGCCACTGCTCACACCCCGGGGGGTTGACAGCAGCTCCCGGGGTATGGCCAGCAAAGGCAGGGCTCTGTGGCACCTCCAGCTCCTGGCAGGCAGCCGGGCCCTGCTGCATTGTTTTGGCCGGGGGGGAAGCCAGGGGTGGAAGTGGGCACCAGGAGGGACAAGCCCAGCCCCTGGTAGCTGTAGGCACGTGAGCAGTGTAGCCGGGTGTGGGAAGGCAGGTGGGTCCTAGGCCACAAGCTCTGACTCAGTCTCTGCCCCATGCTCTCCTGGAGCCACGGCCGAGTCCTTCACCGTCCCGGCTGGGCAGCGGGCAGCCAGTCCTGGCCTCTCCCTCCACGAGTACAGTCCTGACGCTCTCGCCCTGTCTGAGGCAGGTGTCTGGGCGCTGAAGCGAAGCCCATCCCAGTCGCGGGCTCTGCCAGGGACTGGTCCTTGTGGCCAGCAGAGCCCAAACCAGCTCAGCATGGGCTGCTTGTGATGCCACGCGGCGTCAGCTTCACATTCTGCCTCCCCACATCATGGGCACTCGCCCTTTCCATTGCTAATAGACACAGGGCAGGCGCAGTCTTGGCCCCAGGGGAAGTGCCTCGGTGCACCTGGCCCAGGGGAGACAGCGATGGGCAGCTGGGGGTGTGCTGGGGGGGAACCACCAGCCACTGACCTGCCTGCCCATCTCCACCCAGTACCACATGCGAATCCACAAGGAGGAGCGGAAATACCTGTGCCCCGAGTGCGGCTACAAGTGCAAGTGGGTGAACCAGCTCAAGTACCACATGACCAAGCACACAGGTGAGTGCCAGGCACGCGGGGGGCAGGCTGCAGGGCACAGCCGGGCTGGGCAAAGCACTGCCCCGGCCGTCCCCAGCCAGTCCGGCCAAGGGGTAGCGGGCAGTCTCCTTGGGAAGAGCAGATGCTGGGGGCTGCCATAGGCTGGCTCCCGGTGGGGGACATGCCCCCTGCTTCCAGGGGCCATAGGGATGGGCACTGGGATACACCCACCTCCCCGTGGGCAAGGGCTGGGCAGCAGCAGTAGGACAAGGGGCTGGGCCATGCGGGGGCCCGGGGACACAGTGGGCTGTTGCTGTCCTCGGCCAGCTGGGCAGGGCCAAGACGGAGCTGTGCGGGAGACTGTGGCCCTTGTCCTCACCCCTGCCACCCAGAGCAGTGCCAGCCCAGTGCCCCTAGCTTGGAGGAACAGAGGTTGACCTGGCCCCATGGGCGGATCCAGGATTCTGCAAAGGGGGATGCAAGCAGAGAGGGGCGTCATCACGTGTGAAACAACACGTGTTTATCTCCAGCTAGAAAGAAACCAGAAGCTGTCCTACCACACCAGGGGCCCGGGGCTGGGTTGTTTCACTGACGATGGAAGGCAGAACAGATACAGTGACACGGGAACAGGTTAAAAACAACCTGCCGGGCTGTGAAATGGGAGCATCATGACCAGGAGCAGCCAGCAGAAAGGCAGAGAGGCGAGCTTGATTGATGGAACATTGAAACTTAAAAAGAAAAGGGGGTCGTTAACACCTGTGCCACGAAGAGATTGGCAGGAATGGGGAGGTGATGATGAGCCGTGAAATCGGTTGGCTACCCTCTGCTGCCTGAATAGAAATGCTGCTGCTATGCCAGGCTGTTGGGTTTAAGCTGCAGGTGGGACTGGAGGGGCCCCAGGAGGGCACATTTCTTGCCCCCAAAGCAGCGGGGGGCTGAGCCTGCGTGGGGGGCAAGAGCCTCTAGCCAGGACCCTGCGGGGCTGAGTCCCAGCAGGAGCATTGGCACAGCCTAGGGAACAGCCCCCGCCTGGGCTGCAGCCCCTGGATCCACCCCTGGGGACCTCAGGGTGGGGCCTGCATCCCCGCTGACCCCCTTTTTGCCGTCATGCAGGCTTGAAGCCATACGGCTGCGAGGAGTGCGAGTACCGGACGAACCGGGCGGACGCGCTGCGGGTGCACCGGGACACGCGTCACCGGGAGGCACGGGCTCATATGTGCGAGCAGTGCGGCAAGGCCTTCAAGACGCGGTTCCTGCTGCGCACGCACCTGCGGGCCCACAGCGAGGCTCGGCCCTATGTGTGCGGCGTGTGCCGGCGCGCCTTCCGCTGGGCCGCTGGCCTGCGCCACCACTTCCTCACCCACACTGACCTGCGCCCCTTCTTCTGCCACTTCTGTGCCTACCGCGCCAAGCAGAAGTTCCAGGTGGTCAAGCACGTCCGGCGCCACCACCCCGACCGCACCAGCGCTGCCGACCCCGCCCAGGGTGTGGGCAAGGACCCAGGTGCCCCCACCCTGCACCTGCACGACGTCCAGCTGCACGGCCGGCCCCGGGATGATGGTGGAGGAGCCCCGGCCGAGCCCCAGGGGTAGCCTCCACCCTGCATCAAGTGCACGTGCATGTACAGGCCAATGTGTATATGGGATGTAACATAAATGGGAGCTGTGCTCATTTCTAACCTGGCTCCAGGGGTCACTGGGGGGGAGGTGGGGGGTACCCTAACCACCTCTGGTCATGGGCGTGGGGGGGAAACTAGTCTCCGAGGCAGGCACCGAACCCACCTGAGCCTGCTTAGCTGAGTAGAGCTTCCAGACAGCCAGGCCCCAGGGCAGGGTGGCAAGGCAGTGCCATGCTAGATGCCCAGGAGGCCCCCCCCCACCCCCACCTATTGCCCCCCCTTGTACTAGGGGCCTGGGGCAGCTCCCTGGGTCATAGCAGAGCCACGGGGAGCCCCTCTGCTCAGGTGGGTCCATGCTGTAGACCCCCAAAGAAGCGTTCTGGGATCTCCCCGCGCCCCAGAGGGACAGGGCAGGCAGCCCAGTGTGGGGGTGAGCCAGCCACAGCCACCCTGCTTGGTTGTGCCCAGCTGCCAGCCCTGCAGGTCCTTGGGCCTTGGGGGGGCTCTCACTGCTCTATGCCAGCTACAGCCTGCCCCGTTACCCCCAGGGCTCTCTCCAGCCCCCCCGCCCCACCAAATGCAGCCTGGCCAGCCCCACTCCCTTGCCCTGCACGGGGGGAATGAGCCCCAACCCTGAGCCAGGATCAGGGCCCCAGTGCTCACCAAGCCAGAGGCAGGCAAAGAGCATGGGGAACCGGCCCACAATGTTGTTGCATGAGGTCTCGTGTTCTCCACTGCTCTGGCACCCACATCACGGAGCCTGGCGTCTCATCTCCACTGGCTTGGGTTCAAGGGAGCCTAGAGCTGCCTCTGCCCTGCTCGTGCTCCCACAGGTGGAAGGAGAGGCTGGCCCCCCAGCCACAGCTCTAGGGGCCTCAGGAGAGACGGCCATGCCTGCACTGCACAGGGAGGGCAGCGGGGTGATGCCAGGAGCCTCAAGGGACCCAGCACCCCCTGGTGCAGGGCACTTCCCTCCATCCCACCGCTCCCGCTTCATAGGGGGAGCACCTGCTTGGCTGGTCTCGTCCAAGCATCAACTGTGTACAGTGCGCCTAGCTAAACAGAGCTGCCGGGAGCCCAGCGCCTGGGGCAGGGCAGCAGAATAGCCAAGGGGTGGGGGCCCAGCCCACCAGTGAGACCCCCCCAGCAAGGCCCAGGGTGCCCACTGAGCCAGTCCCTGAGGTTCTGCATC